AAACAGACAAACCGATAATTTTATTTATGACTATTATACTTGGCGATATTGTTGATGATTTTTTTAGGTGGATCATACTAAAAGACGTTTTAAATAAGTGTAGCAATCTTTACCAGCAGCTATTAAGTATATAAATATTAAATAAATTTAACTGGTAAAAACATTAGAAAAACTACATATAAAATTTATATTGGTTTATTTAATTTAAAGCAAAAAACTTTAGATTAAAAAAAAGCAGTAAAGACAAAGTCAGCACTTTGTCTTGCAAAGTGAAATGCCATAAATGCAGAAAAGCAAAGCAGTTTTTTTTAAAAAAAAAAAAAAAAAAAACTCTGTCTAACTGAGCAAAAGGAATTTGAGGAATTGCATGAAATAGAAAAAAAGATTGCACAACAATGTTGAGCTCATTGTTTAATTTTAAAAGCATTATTTTTTTTCACATGAATTAGTTGTTATGAGTTTAAATTAGTTAATTTAGTTAAATTTATTATTTTTGTTTTGTTTGGATGCTTTTATTATAAAACTTAAGTCCCCAGACAGGGGACTTGAGTTTTGTATAATATACAGTAAAGGACATACAATGTTTTATAATATAGTGTTTTTTGATCGACATTTTTTCAATTCACATTTATCTTGTTATCTATTTTGGCGATTTTTGTTATTTTGGGTTAAAATTAAAGAACATGAAAGTCCTGGAAACACATTTAAAGAAACACATTTAAAGAACACGTGTCCTGGAAACTCTTGGAATTTGGAATTTTTTTTTTGTAAGTCCTAGAATAGTCCTGAAAATGATGTAGTAAATGTCCTGGAAAATTACTAAAAATTCTCCTTGAAAATCCTGAAAAGTCATGGATTTTCAATACTGATGCCAATGAATAGGAAAAGGCCAATACCGATGCCAATACCGATGGATAAACTAATTATTAAAAATTTTGAAAATATAAAACCATACAACTTTAAATCATGTAAATTTATCTATGCAATCAGAAATTGTAAACAAATACTAAGACCTATATCAGAGCCAAAGCTTTAATTTAAAAGCAATTATGAAAACAATAATGAAAGCAATAATGAATACTTTCTTAGAATAATATACAGTTTTTAGTTTTTTTATCCAAAACTTTCTAAAAATAAATATAATTTTAGAGGAACATTTTTTATTTCAACTTTGAAAAAAAAGTGGTATTATGAAAAGCAGTTTACTGAGAAATGTAATTTCTTTATGAAAAGCAAATAAAAAAAACCTTCATAAATGTGTATATATATATATATATATATATATATATATATATATATATATATATATATATATATATATATATATATATATATATATATATAAATATATAGTTCTTTTCAAAATAAAATAAGAGACTTTAAAATAAAATACCAACAAAATAATAACTAACTGTTCACTTTCAACAGAAGATGGAGGGCATAATAAATACTTCTGAGCTGTCGAAGCTAATTGCTTAAAGTTATTTCTATTAGCTCCCCACCATACAATAGGACTATCTTGTTGCATGATAATGTCTTGGCTCAAGTAAATTAAAACTTCATTTTTCAACTTTAAATAATGGTTGCTTTCGGTTTCTTGCAGAACTTCAGATATTGATGTGTTTTCGATTAAAGTGTTTTTATTTTTAATAAAACTTTCAAAGCATTTTGAAAAATCAAAATCTAGATTTATTGTACTTGATAACAAACTGACCTCAGGTTGAAATTCCACATGATCTTTTTGTTGAAGACTTTTTGAGCAATCTACAAGCCATTTAATGATATTTTCAAAATAGCTATCGACTTCTTCATCTGGAAAAAAATTATTTTTATATCTTGGATCCAAAAATGTGGCTAAAGTGAGATTTTTGTCATTGAGATATTTTCAAATCTTTCATTTGCTGATATTTTATATTCTTTTAAAGTTGTCCCTAATCCTAAAAACAAGGGAGACTTTTCAGCTTGAACCAGCATGGTTTTTATAACTTGTACAGTTGGAATTATAGCAGATGCAACTGCTTCACACTCACTTAACAAATTTTTTATATCATTAAACATTTTTAAAAGTCGTAGTAGTTTTTCTAAAATAGTCCATTAGTGACTAAATGTACCTTTGTAGTTGAAATAAGAAAGTCATTCATAGAACTTTGAATTGCTTTACATATATTTTTGGCAGTATGCGATACATTGAGTTGTCAAACTTGAAGAATTGCTGATTTTTGATGGAATTCTTTAGTTAACCAATGAGCTGCCAAGCTAAGAAATAAGCATTTTCCTTTAGTAGATGTCCATCCATCAGTTGTAAATGAAATGTATGAAGCCTTATTTATTTCTTTTTTGACATTTTGTCTGATTTTGTTGTATATATTTTGAAAAACAGAGTTTTAAATGTATTTTCTACTTGTAATGCAATAGTTAGGACATAAATGGTTTAACAATCTTTGAAATCCGATGTCTTCTACTATAGAAAAAGGTTGAATATCAACTGTAATCATTTCTGCAATATATTTATTAATTAATTTAGACCTGTGATCATTAATGTCCCAGGGGTTTTTTCTCTCAATTGTTTCAAACAAAGTTTGTTAAGACTGTTTTGAGCAACTTGCATCAGTTGACTTAATTTTCTTGAACATATTTTGTTCACTTTCTGCTTTCCTTTTGTTTTCTACTTCATTAAGTTTCAAATCTTTGCTTGCTGTTTCTTTATGTTTTGAATTAATATGAGACAATTTATTTGTTGTGTTAAAAGACTTTTTTTCTTTATTACCTCTTGCAATCTTCAATTTGCATGTGCTACATATTGCAATTGAATCATCTTCAGTAGAAATAGTAAAATATTTCCACACCCAACTGCGTGATTTTATTGGAATACCTTTTCCAAACAAAGCTGTTGTCATTCTGATTATATACTTAATTCTGCAACTTTATTAACTTATTAATTAATTAATTTATTAATTAACAGTCATATAGAAATATAGAAAGCAATATTTGAATACATATTGTTGCGATAGCGCTAAATGTCTATCCCGTGTTATTAGTTTTATACGTGCTCTTATTTGTGTCACGTGATCGCAATGCGATCTGTAAAAATAGTTTAGTTGCATGCTTGTAGTTACACGCTTGTAGTTGCTAGTTATAGTCATTGCTCGCTTCTTAATGTATAATATATAACGAGAGAAAGCTATATCTATATCAATAAATATATATTGTATTTTGTATAGACATTTAGCGCTATCGCAACACATATAGATAAAAATGCTTAAATAAGTTACTTTTAAGTATAATAATAAAACAATATAAAATAAAGTTGTTCCAAAAACAACATTATAGTAATAAAAGTATAAATACATTCAGCTAATAAACATCATTTTAAGAATAAAAAATTTGCCTGTAAACAAAGTCAAAATAAACAATTTCTCAAAAAAAATTCCAAGTGCATAATCAAAAATCCATAAAGTTTAGTTTATTTATTATTTAACTATTATTATAATGCCTTCATAATAATGATAAAAATATTAAAATGCCATTGGTAATGAAAATCAATAAATTCGGCTGATGCCAATTCCGATTCTGATGCATACCAATTCTGATGTACAAAAAGTGTCAGATTAAGCCGATGCCAATGCCCATTAATCGTACCGATCACTAATGTATATATAAATATATATATATATATATATATATATATATATATATATATATATATATATATATATATATATATATATATATATATATATCTACTAACTATATATATATTGTATACTGTATTTTTTTTTTTTTATATATATATATATATATATATCTTGTATATTTTTATTACTTGAAACAAATTAATATTGTTTTTTAGAAATTTTAGTATATCAAATAAGAATTTAACTAAAGTGTTAGAAGTTAGAATTTTCGTAAATAAAAAGTTACCGTAACAACTATTGTTTTTTTTTTAGTCTCTTGTTGTGGATCAAGCAAGTTTGTATGGACTTAATCCTGACCAAGTGAAACCAAATTGTCAAGTGAAACCGAACTGTCAGTCAGGGTTGCCTTTAAAAAAGGTTTTACATTTTTGTTTGATTAAATATTATTTAAAAATGTATATAAAATTAAAACTTGTACTAATTACTGTTGAGTCATCAGCAAAGTTATCATTTGCCTTTTTCACTATTAATTTTTCAAATTTCACTCGTAAAGCATTATAGGATAACTGAGGCACAATAAAATAACGATAACTAAAAAAAATTAACCATTTATGGATGAAATTAAATGTTGGAATATTGTTAAATTGAAAAAATTCCTGCAAGCAATGAGTATTCCTCTTGGGGAAAATCCTTAAAAATTTTTTTTTTAATAAATGTTTATTATGCCAATAAACTTAAATTACCATTAAAAAAAACTGTACACGAAGAAACTGAAAAGATCAAATCCAGATCTTTTCAAAAATTAAAATCAGGTGTCCAGCTTGAAAGAAAGACATTCTCTTTATTCTTCAGATCATGTAACTTCAGTAGCTTTTAATAGTTTAGCAGATGCTTTAAAATTTTGTAATTTAAATGAAACTGTAGTCCCTCAAACAAATGATGAAGAATATGAGTCATGCGTATGTTTAAATAAAAACAGAATATTAACTGCAGAATGCATTTGTGTAGCCGGTTATAGAGAAAGCTGCAAACATATTTTTGCATTGTTATTGTTTGTGGATGAGCGTGTGCAATTAGGAGAAAATGTAAATTGCACATCAGTAAAATAAAAGTGGGGGACTAAAACGCAGAAGAGAAAATTACATGAGTCGGATAAATTACAAAATATTTCTATTAAAAAAGTCATTAAAATAGTTATAAAATAATAATCTAAAACATAGTCAATCTTTATATGATCCATTACTAAAGAAGAAGGAAGATTGGGAGAGAAGTTGCAGAAGCCACATATGAAAAAATGCCGTAATTTGCCTTAAGTCAGATATATAGTCAGAATATTTTATGAACAAATTACCTTCAAATGCAACTAAAAACCAAGTACCAACTACAATAAGAGCAATATGTAGCTCAGAATGTTTTTATGAGAATAATCGGTAGCATTTAAATGTGAACAATTTTTAGGGACATTTTCAATAACACTATCTCAAGCAGAACTTATAAAAGTAGCTACGACATCTCAACCAAAAAGTTTGCTTTGGAAATCATATTGAGTTGGAACAATATTGTCATCTGTTGCTCATGCTGTCATAGCAAAATTTGATGTTGACTTGAAAGTGAAAAACAAAAAAGCAGCATATAATTTATATGCTTAAATTTTCAGTTACAAAAATATTACTAAAAGTGAATCAATTCAATGAGGTAACATGTTTGAGTCCTATGCTCGAAAAAGATATACCAGAGAAATAATAAAAAACTCATAAAAACTTTACATGTTACCAAACCGGGCTAATAATATCAATCAAAACACCTTATCTTGCAGCAAGCGCAGATGGTATAACAAGTTGTACATGTTGTAAGTTTGGTTTGCTTGAATGTCCATGGTCATTCAGGCAAAAAAAAAAAATGTGAACATGCTCAAAGTGCTCAAAAAAGATATATTTTTATTAATATTAGCATATTTAATTTATCTGATGTAAATTAAATATGCTAATATTAATAAAAATATATCTTTTTTTTCTTTTCTTTTTTTTTTTTTTTTTTTGTTTAAAAAAAAACATTACAAAATATTTATAAGAAAAACATTTTCAAAAAATTATCAGCACATTGTCATATTTTTTGTTGCTCAAGATTTATGTCGTTTGTTAATTTTTCATTAACTTGTTTACTGCTGAATTACTTTAAAATTGTTGTAACTATATCTTTTTTCTCAAGTTTCTTTGTGATTGATTCAGGGAAAACACACTCTGTAAAAAATTTCTGAAAATTTTGTTCATTTTTATTATAGCTAGAATCAGAACAAATTTTTTCTCAGTTTCACTTGCTAAACATACATAGAAATTTTTTCTCAGTTTCACTTGCTAAACATACATAGAAATTTTTTCTCAGTTTCACTTGCTAAACATACATAGAAATTTTTTCTCAGTTTCACTTGCTAAACATACATAGAAATTTTTTCTCAGTTTAGATCACTTGCTAAACATACATAGAAATCAGCATAAGGGTAGCCACTTATAAATAACTGGTTTTGTATTTGTGTGCAATATTGATGACTTTTTAGTGTGTATGTGTTAGCGCATAGATTTTTATTTTAAAAAACTTTGAGCACTTTGAGCATGTTCACATTTTTTTTTTTGCCTGAATGACCATGGACATTCAAGCAAACCAAACTTACAACATGTACAACTTGTTATACCATCTGCGCTTGCTGCAAGATAAGGTGTTTTGATTGATATTATTAGCCCGGTTTGGTAACATGTAAAGTTTTTAAAGAAGTAGGAGATATTAAGCTCTTTTACGCTGCGATTTTCATTTAACTTAATTTCCTATTTTGATTATTTATTTAAATTAAGACTCTGAAAGGGAAAACTTAAGATATTTTTTTGTTTTGTTTATTGTGAAATTTTGCGTTAGGTAATTTATGGATGATCTCTTTGTGTAATTTTCTATTCAATCCCGGGATTTCCTGGGGACCAATTTCTCAATCCCCAAATCCTGGGATTGAAAATTTCCTGGATTTTTGCCATCCCTAACTTCTATGTAGTTTTATCAAATCTTATTTTATTTCATCTGCTAATCATGTGAAGCAATAAATTTTTGTTGTTGTTTCGTTCTGGATTATGGAAACAATTTATTTCAAACTTACTTAACTTTAGCGCTAACACATACACACTAAAAAGTCATCAATATTGCACACAAATACAAAACCAGTTATTTATAAGTGGCTACCCTTATGCTGATTTCTATGTATGTTTAGCAAGTGATCTAAACTGAGAAAAAATTTCTATGTATGTTTAGCAAGTGAAACTGAGAAAAAATTTCTATGTATGTTTAGCAAGTGAAACTGAGAAAAAATTTCTATGTATGTTTAGCAAGTGAAACTGAGAAAAAATTTGTTCTGATTCTAGCTATAATAAAAATGAACAAAATTTTCAGAAATTTTTTACAGAGTGTGTTTTCCCTGAATCAATCACAAAGAAACTTGAGAAAAAAGATATAGTTACAACAATTTTAAAGTAATTCAGCAGTAAACAAGTTAATGAAAAATTAACAAACGACATAAATCTTGAGCAACAAAAAATATGACAATGTGCTGATAATTTTTTGAAAATGTTTTTCTTATAAATATTTTGTAATGTTTTTTTTTATACAAAAAAAAAAAAAAAAAAAAGAAAAGAAAAAAAAGATATATTTTTATTAATATTAGCATATTTAATTTACATCAGATAAATTCCTTTATATGTAATATTTCTTATGTAAATTACTTGAAGCTCCACAAATAACATATGTGTTATCTATGAGATCTAGCATTGTTAGTGATAACTTGTTTTTACATTGCAATTCACTTTGCTTTTATTTACTTTTATTTTAGTTTTATTTACCTAGTTGAAAATTATGTTTTGGTTTGTTTAAGCATCAGTTATCCCATAATGCTTTCTGCGTGAAATTTAACTTTTGCGAAAAGGTGAATTCTTCATCTTATTTTACAATTACCCTGGCTTCATTGATACATCCAATAAAGTTTGATTTTTTTCATAGTTGCTCCTTGTTGAGGAGAGAGTTTTTAAAGTTTTTAATTTGTTGTAAGTATTAGGCATTAACATGTGATGATAATATTTATATAATGGTATTTTGGTTGGTTTAAATGTTAATGATGATGACATCATCATGATGATGACATTGCAAGTTTTTGTTCTTTTATTTTAATATTTTATGCTTTGACTTTATTTTGTTTTTGTTGTTAAGTTTATTTTGTTTAAGCTATTTCAGTTAAATTTTAAATTAGCAAAGTTCTTTAATTGTTATATTATTAAATTATTGGAATTAATTGAATCCTGAAATTAACTAAATAGTAAAAATCTGCAAAAATATAATAGTAAAAATAAAAATTTTCTAAATATTGAATTAAATGCTAAAAAAACAAAAAAAGTTTGAAATAAATTTTTTCCATAATCTGTGTCAATAGTTTTTGATTAAATCCAGAACGAAACAACAACAAAAATTTATTGCTTCACATGATTAGCAGATGAAATAAAATAAGATTTGATAAAACTACATAGAAGTTAGGGATGGCAAAAATCCAGGAAATTTTCAATCGCAGGATTTGGGGATTGAGAAATTGGTCCCCAGGAAATCCCGGGATTGAATAGAAAATTACACAAAGAGATCATCCATAAATTACCTAACGCAAAATTTCACAATAAACAAAACAAAAAAAGATCTTAAGTTTTCCCTTTCAGTCTTAATTTAAATAAATAATCAAAATAGGAAATTAAGTTAAATGAAAATCGCCGCGTAAAAGAGCTTAATATCTCCTATTTCTTTTCTTAAAATATTTTTTGCGTAATTTATGGATGATTGCAAACGCAATTGAATACTTTTTAAGCACTCATCAAAGACTTAAAAATGATTAATTTAATGATAATATAACAAAAATATTTGATACGTTAATGAATCTTTAAAATTAAGTTGAATCATGTTTTAACTTAATTTTGTATAAAAACTTAGACTTTTAAAAATTAATAAACCTAAGTATTATAAATTATAAAACAATACCCTAAAAAAGTAACACAGTATAAATAAAAATTAAAAAATAATATAAATATGCATGGCGTTGAAAAAAAAAATTTCGTAATTCATGCATTTTCATAAATTACACATTTGAAAATTAAAATGAATGGATATAAAAATGGAATTAAAATCGTGCATACTTTTGGAAGCAGAAAATTCAAAATAAAGTTAATGTTAATATTAATATACCTTCTATTAAAATCTCTTGCTCTTTTTACCAGCAAGCGCTTTAATTTTATTTATTTTTATAATATACTAGTTTTTATATTATACTATATATTATATATAGTATAATATCAAAACTAGTATATTATAAAAAATAACAAAAATATAATTGTCTGCTGGTGGAAGGAGCAAGAGTTTTTAATAAAAGTTAAACATTAATTTTATTTCATTAAATATTTTGAATTTTAGTTATATATATATGTATATATATATATATATGTATATATATATATATATATATATATATATATATATATATATATATATATATATATATATATATATATATATATATATATATATATAAAATATATATTTATATATATATTTATAGTACTAAAACTATTATTGAACCATTCTTTTATACTTGCTCTTGATATTTTAAAATGTTTGAAGAGAAGGTAACTTTGCTCGGAAATCAACTCTGTGGTCTCTCCAATTTGTACATTTGATGGTTTATAATGCTGAAATTCATTTGGCTCTTCAAACTCAATCAAAGCTAACAGCATTCTTAGCTTTTTTTCAGAAGGAACTTGTTTAACCCCAAAGGACAAAACAGAGTTGCGGAGTTAAGTACCACGTATGACATCCCAAGCAGAGATGCAAAGGATTTCCAATATTCTTACTGACTTTTCTCAATTTATAGGTTGTCTGAATAGCTTTCAAATCATTGTAGAAAGCCAGAAGTCCTAAAAAACTTTTCAAAAACCATGGAATATAGCAAATTGCAATGAACAAACTTGCATCCTTCAACTACAGCACTTCTTTTTCTGTCAAGATATTACTGATATCTTGGTCATATAAAGAGTCAGGATGTAGATTGCATCTGCTAAAAACCTTGCCTCATGGCAGGCGCCAGGTTGATAGAACTTAAAATCTTGTACTTCAACCTCAAGTAAGAAAGAGGCAAGCTTACAAACTATACCATAATCATTCCTTGAAAACACCATATCAGTAGTTGCATTTGTCAAAAATATCTTAGCTTCCTCTACAACAGTGTGAAGAACAGAGACAGTTTTCAGATCATCTGTTTGCCAGTCCAATTTACATAAAAGAGCTCTTCTTGGACCTTTAGTTTTCTCACCAGTAAGAGCAGCCATATAGTGAGATACATGTACTTTATATATGTGTCTCCTACACATTATCCACAAAATTATTATTTTCAAAATGTCTGTAAGATTTTGGACTGCTCCATTGACTCTGCCTGTATTGCTTGCAGTTGTATCACAGCATATACCAATGATCTGCTATTTACATCCATAATATTCTAAAAGATTGTGCACTTTCTGCTTGGTCAACTCCTTTTGAAGAGGGATATTAAATAACACCTAAAAGATTGTCTTCCATGGTATCGTCATCCGGGGAACTCACTGAGACTGCAAGTTGCTCAATTTATTGAAGAATGTTAGGCCCAGTGGTAATTTGTTACAAAAGTTTGGTATCAAAATGAAGAAAAAGCTGTCGGCCGTTAAGATGATTTGTTATTGAAATCCAAACCAAGTTTTCTTTAAGTTCTACAAATTTGAACTTTTTTCCATGAAGTGTGCTTTGTGAAAGTGGTATATCATTAATTTCTATACCTCTAGCTTTAAATACCTCACCTAAAATGATGAGGTTGTACACCAACATTGAACCTTGTTGCTGGAATAGCAGTACATTCAATGAGCTTTTCAACATTCACTGCTAGATTTATTCTATTTCCAGAATTATACCTAGGTATCATTTTATAATATTTTTCTACCTATTTATAATTATATACTTTTCAATAAAACAGCTTTAGCTTGTGAAAATTACAACTATGTTATTAAAATAATACTATACCTGCATTTCCAGCTGTTACCCAAGAAATCTTCTTCCTTGCTGATTTCAAAGTCCTTGTTTGACTTTCCTTCTTCACTGCTGAATTGAATCTCTTCTGTCATAGAGTCATGTGACAACAAAACATCATTGATATCTTTTAAGTTTTTCTGTCTCTTTTATTCTTTCTCTCTCAACTTATCTAGCTTGGTCTTTCTCTTGTTTGCATCCAGTACTCTCTTACTGTAGTCTTCATTGACTTTTGTTCCCATATATCCTTTACTATCCAACTTCTGGTCTTCATAAAAACCAAGAAATATTTAAATCTATTAAGACATTTATAAATAAATTAATAATTCTTCAAATTTTTCTTGGAAAATGACCAAACCAAGGAAAGAGTTAGACGTAAATATTTTAAAGGAAATAAGCTATTACTTAAGTTACTTTAAATCGGAAAGAAAATCTCACTACTAAAAAAAGTGTTATTTAAGCAACTTACTTTATATCTTCCAGCTTGGCATCATCTGTTCTCAATCTATCTACAAAAAATTTTTTTTTTCAAAATTCTTAGCCGAGATGTCAAAAAGCTGGAATAGGAATCTGTGAGAAAATCTTACTCTAACTTTGATTGCTTATCAAGGGTGCTGTTCCAGTTTAGAGAAGACAATTTAATCAATTTCTTATATTTTAAATTAAGTTTAATGATTTTGGTCTTTATATTGTACCCAGAAATCACAAATTTCTTGCCAAACCCAGCATTATTCCAAATTTTTTTAATCCTAATTACCAAGCAAGAATTATAAAGATCTGTACAAACACAATTTTTGCAAACAAGATCCTTGAATTTCGATTTCAATTTGCAACCAACATTAGTAGAAGTGGGTTTGTATTTAACCTGTGATGAACGAAGGATAAATTGATAGTATCTTAGAATATCACCATTAGATTGAAGCTGTCTCTGAGGTAAATCGCTCAGTGGGCACTTCAATAGGTAAATATACCTCAATCTTTCTGTATTTTTTTGTTTTTTCTTATTCTGTCCCATCATCTTGTTTATTTTAACTGTTCTACCCATTTTAATATGAATTTTGAAATAATCAGTTTTTTAACTAAGTTTATACTAAATTTTTTCACTTGCATCAAAAATCTACGAAGTTGTTATTCCCTCTTGTATCATATTTTATCTAAGTTTACCGTTACGGCTTTTATAACCGTTTACACAAGAATTTCTTTGTGCACAAATAGTTCCATTTAGAATTTTTTTCCTTAAAAAAAATTTTCTAAATACAGTTATTTGTGAACCAATCCATGGGGATATATACCAACTAATATATATATATATATATATGTATATATATATATGTATATATTGTCCAGAGGTAATTATATCAATTGCTAACAATGTTCATAGGGATGTTCAATGCTAATCTTTGATAATGTCCTATGGTAATTATTTGTGTACTAATATATATATATATATATATATATATATATATATATATATATATATATATATATATATATATATATATATATATATATATATATATATATATATATATATATATACATACACATTTTGCAGACAAGCAATATTGTTTCGAGTTTTTTTAAGTAAAATACAGAAAAAAAAAGTTTTAAAAGGAAAACATTGCAAAGAGAATAAATAATTACACAATAATTACACAACCAAACACAAACAGCTACTATAAACAGCTACTATAAACAGCTACTATAAATAGCTACTATAAACAGCTACTACAAACAGCTACTATACCATAGTATAGTAGATATAAAAGTTACTAAACTGCAATTATGAGCTTAAACTTTATTAACTTTTCCTTTTTTTTGACGATCCTGAAATCCCAGGAAATTTCAGAGACTAATCCCAGGATTTCGGGATGAACAATTTGTACGAAATCCCAGGATCCCTAATAGAAGTTCCCTTCGGAAAATCTCATGAAGCTCGTGTGTTTTTTTAAAACTGTTTTTTACTCTTAAATTAGTTTTTTTTATTTATTATCTTTGAGTTGTTGTTTCTTAAAAAAGAATATTAATTTCGTTATTTTACCACTGCATTAAAAACTGGTATAGAAATATGTATATTAATACTATAAAAAAGAAGTATTTTTCCATATGAAATGTGATATGTTTGGTGTATCTTAAACAGGTGGCTGCAATTTTTGTATGTGTGTGTGTGTGTTTCATTAACAGTTATGGGGCTAATAGAGTAGGCAGTTCTGTGCGCAGTATTGTAATTTTGTTAATAATTTAGTTTAAGCATGAACAAGTTTTTTGAGTAATTTATTTTATCTCCTCAATAAATTGATATTTAATCTTTACTTTTTTTTTCTTCATATCTTTCTTTTTCCAAATGTTTCTTATTCCATATCTTTCTTATTCCAAATCTTCTTCCATATCATATCTTACTTATCCTTATCTTTTTTATAAGAATAATTTTTGTAGTTGAGTGTATAGAATAAAGATTTTTTTGTACCTTTGTAGTCATATGGTTCAGCATCGCAACTTCAACACATTTTACCAAAAGTTGACAAAACTAAAGCAAGTGTATTGGTAAAGTCAGCAACAGATACACACCTTTTAAATACCAGTGTTACATCAATTAATTCTTTAAAAAATAGTATTCCTCAATTAAGAGCACCTAGAAGGAGCATCATTTTACAAGGTATCTTTTAAATTAACTTTTATATAACTTTTTATTATTTTAATATAAAAATAAATCAGATTTTGCAGTTAGAGTTTGAATAGTCTATGGAATAAATCCTCCTGAAATAATGATGTCACTTTTCTGGCATGATGTAAAATGACCAGTTCAAGCAAGAAAAAGTAAAAAAAGTAAATATTAGTGTAAGACTTTCTTTGAACATCCTTTGATAATTATTTTTAGGGTTATAAGTTTGAATTTGCTTTTTTGTTAATTAAGATATATATTCAAATTTGCCAGTAACTTCTGTAACACAGAAATCACAGAATGAAACATGGTACTTAGGAACCTAAAATGTATTTAATCTTATGTTATAATTTTATCCTTTAAACCACAAAAAAAAATTTTTTTGTAATGTTTGTTACACCACAAAAAATAGAATAGAGCATTCACTTGTTGTTATAAACAACATTGTAATTGTAATTAATAAAAAAATTTTTTTTTGTTTTTAAGTTCTCAATGTGTGAATCAGGTTGACTCTGCTGCTAAATGAGTAACAAGTTTTAAAATTTGTTTAACAAGTTATAAAATTTCTTTGCGCTATTGTTGAACACAGAACATGTTAAAGTCTCAATTTAATGCATTTTTATTAGAAAGTATTTTATGCCTACAACAAAATAAAAAGTACATTAGAATAATTTTTCTACAATAGTACTATTATTTATTAGTATCACTATCTTTCAAGACCTGGACTAAAAGCTCTAGGCTCTATTTTTTGAGGCCTATGCTCTAAGTTGTTGTAGTGCCAATTTAATTACTGGATGGGCAGAAGGATTATATCTCAATAATAGAATAAATAATAAAAACACTTGTATGGATTTGGTGTCACTTACACACTGAATAATTAGAGCTAATGAGTTTTATTAAATTTCTTGATGGTCTAACTTAGAGCAGCGACAGTCTTTAACAGTCAAAGTCAATAAGAGAAATTAATCCTAACTCACTAAGTCACTTTTTAAGGTTTTGTCGATGCAATAAATCAAGAAAACTTAATCCTGACTTTATAAAGGTTTGCGTAGCTTTATATTCGCTTATCTACTATAATAACTATTGATATTAAAAGAGTTTACACTACATATTGAATATATATACAATATGCATATGGATATTAGTCAATTAATTTTTGCTTTGAAAATTAATGTTTTCTATTATCAATTAATTTTTGCTTAAAAAAAAAAAGGTTTTATATTTAGATTTGTCATTTGAAAATGAGTTTTAAAGAAACTCATTTTCAAATGGCCGTTTCATTTTTTCAGTTTCATTTAAAAAATTAACTGTTTTTTCAGGAACACCTAACAAACCATTAAAACAAGAGAATCGGGTTCTTACTTCAGGAAAAGCAAATTTTACTCCAGCTGATCAAAGTTATACAATGACTCCTGTGCAGAGAACAGCCGCACGAAAATCAATTAGTGGTTGTAAATTGTTTCCTAACAGTGGAAGTAAGTTTTCATTTTCAAAAATTTAATATAAAAATGTTTAATTAAATGTGAATATAACCAATAATTCATCAATAGCTGACTGGGTACACATTAAATGATAAAGAGTAGGGTACAAATTAGAATTTTAATTTTGTTTTAAATTCTATTTAATATAACTTGTCAAACTGTCTAAAAATTTCTTTTCTTCCTGCTGTTAAATTTAACAAAACACATACTTGGTCAGTGTATGTAAATTTAACAAAACACATGCCTGGTCAGTGTATGTAAATTTAACAAAACACATGTTTGGTCAGTGTATGTAAATTATTTTAATAAGACGATTGCTTACAACTTATCTTCATTTATTGCTTAAAACTTAATAGTTGTATCTATGGCTATTAAAACATTTTCTTTAATCGTTTTAGAAGCAAAATAATATTTGCCAAATTTTTTTGCTTTTTTTTGTAATTAAAATTAAATCTCAATTTAATAAAAAATAAAAATTATTTTGAGTTTTCAAAAACCAAATATTTCTTACTAACAATTTTTGTTAATTAAAAAATTATTTTAATGTTTAAAAAAAATAAAATAATTGTTGATTAAAAAATTATCAATTATTTGTTTATTTTTAAACATTTTCACTTCTAACAAGGCTGCAAGCAACTACTATTGTTGAAAGTTGAAAGTTACTGGAAGAAAAAAGATTAGGATGTAATTATTGGAATCAAGAGATGAGATTAATAAAAAGTTCTTAGTGACAAAGAACGCAAACAACGGAATATTAAATATTCTGTTTGTTGCGTTCAACTGACTAAGGCATATCAATTTTTAACGCTTAATGGTATTTATACACAACTGGCAATTATCCGTAACTAAAATACGTTACTGGAGTATTCCTCGATACCAAGATAATTGTCTTAAGACAAACCCATTTAAAATACAGTGAAAAAAGGGGACATCACATGACATTATAATTTACAAATATTCATACTAAATACTAAAAGTTTTATCTTTTTTTCATCTTTTAGTGAGGTAACAAAATCTGAGCTAAGAGAGGAAGAATTACGGACTTAGTTGTAGACGCTGCTAAAAGTTCTCTAGAACTCTCTAAAGCTTATTTTTAAGATAAAATACAAGATTTTGCGACCTGAGAATAGTGGGCTTTGGCGATAGACAAAACTTTTTTACAATGGTTTTTAGCAACAGTAAACAGATGTCTGTTTTCTATAGATATGGAAGTAATGTTTCGATTAAAAATTGCAGCAGCACAATACAAGGAAAACCATGGAGAAGAGTGAAGTTTGACTTGGAATTTAGAAGAAATAAAGAACTCTATGCCAGCCTGAATCTAAGAAGTTACAATTGTCAGAAGCACGTTTGTCAGCAGGAAGTCAAAAGGTTTCAACACAAGGGTCATCACGGAGAAAATCACGGAAAGAGTCCCAAAAGGCTTTTAGTTAGTTGTATGAGGTACAATGGTAGGAGTATTCCTATCATTGTACCTCTTACAAGAAGAAGAATGAGATAATAGTTTTAGAAAGATCAAACCGTGATCAGAAACGCCTGAGGGTAAATGTGGAGAAGCTGAGCACTGACTAAGATCAGAAACAAAAGTTGAGGAGAGAAGGTAAATGATTCAGATTGCAGAGTCAGTGACACTAGAGCCAAGCTATTCAGTGTGATGAGCATTATAGTTACTAATGACAATGATATGGCTGAAGAATAAAGAGAAGAGAGCTTGGTCAATTTGATCAAAAATAACATCAAAAGTTTTGAGATAAAAATCACTTTTTCGAATCTCACCATTTTTAATGGCCGTTCTCACAACTATACTCATTTTGTCCTTGTGTGACATATAGGGATTAGTGTCGGCCATCACAGAAAAAAAATAGGAGCTGATAATTTAATCAATAATCTGACTCTTCAATTAAGTTGCAATTAAACTAATCATTTCATTTTGAGATGATTTACTCAAACAGTTGATGTATGTAACTCTATACGGACAAGGGGGTCTATCTTCAATCCAGGCTTTTAGATTGGGATTGTGGTGAGAAATGAGATTCACTATTACAAGGAAAGTTACCTTGGTGAACTCATGTTCCCTAAACGCTAGCCCTTAACTTTCTAAAGTCTTACATGTTTTTCTTCTATAATTCTATTTTCTGTTCTTCTATCAATACCAGTCTCTTGGATCTCTTGAAAGCTGCATCTCTTTCTCTTTTCTACAAATGCTATCATAGTCGCTGCTCAAAGGAGCTATCATCTCTATTTCCATCAACTTAAACTAATTCTCACTTGACTCATCATTCAGCAAAGTCTCTTCTTTTACTGTATCTGTCCCTGCATGCTTCAAAAACATTTATTCATCTAGTTTTTTTTGCCACACTTCAACCCTTTCGAATTCACTCACATCTTTATGGTTTCTTGACTCATACAACTTTCAACTTTTTAAGTCTTCTGTCAATTGTTTCTTTGCTCTATAACTCTTTTTTCTAGTAACTCCCAACTGAATAGTGGTTGCTTCCATTCTTGTTGGGAGTAAATCAGAATAAATTTAAAAAAAAAAAAGAAAAAAAAATTTATCAATAAGGTGATCTATATGTCCCTTTTATTCAGAAAAAAGAAAGTGACATTTACTTAATGCAGCTTTATGTGCTTGAGAGGTTTCCCAAGTTTGGCTTTCCCATAGTCTTTCATCTCAGACCAAAATCTTACCCCAACATTTATCTAAGCATCTTCTTTTTCCAACATCTTTGAGGAAAATTCAGCAGAGCAAACAAAATGTGGCATCCTTCTGGGTGCTAAATTTTAAACATTCAAACTCTTTGTACCACTGGGGGTTAAATCTATTTTTACCGTCACATGGGAAACTAGCGAGTTTTGGTTAAGGTGGCTCTAACTGGAATACAATTTTTGATTGACTGTAATTGTATGTAGGCATAAACCAGGTTCATGGGTTATCAATGCTGATTTGTCAATTTTTTTTGAGCTTTGATATTGAGTTTACAAATAAAAGTTTTTCTAATAGTTTTCAAAATATTTTTTGACATTTTCACTATAGAACTTTTTGCATTCACAATTTTAATTGCAGCAAATTTTTCATTTATTAATACTTCTTTAGAACATTTTTCATAAATCTCACTACATTCTTAAAGATTATCAATTAAAACACCCAAATGAGTGAAGGCCAATTTGTTGGTTTAACTACTTACTTCAGCTGTATCCAAGTTAATAATATTCTTGCTTTTTTTTTTCTTTTTTGCGAGAAAACTAGGGTAAATGACCTGATTCAGAATTTAATTCTGTAAATTCTTCCGCTTGTTTCCCTTTCATGTCTTTATCTTAAACCTTTTTACCACCATGAACGGATCTTTCATGACTGGTTTTATAGTTGTTATTGTAAACTGCTTTGCATACGCAACATTGTACTTTATATCTCTTGTTTTTCATAGTTAGTGCCCAAAAAAAAAAAAGCAGATACTATAATTTAACATAATTTTTAAATGAGTTAATTTTTATAAAAATTTTTATGATAATAGAATAAAAATAATAATCTCATTCTATTATTAACAGAACAAGAATAATAATCTCATATATTCTTATTCATATTAGGCTTTCTTCTTCTATCTAATTCCAACCATTTTTCCAGTTAAGAAAATCCCAACTTTCCCAACTCGTGGCAATGAAATTCCAAACTTTTCTCTTTCCTAGATTCTGCAGGGCGTGGGGGAAGGCTACAGCCCAATCCCCCCCTCTCCAAAGTAATACCCCTGGTTGGCTTATTATTGATATATTGTTTAATATATGAAATTATTAGTTAATAATAATAATAATAACAACAATAATAGTTATTGATGCTAATTGATAACAATAATATTTAATGCTATTTCCAAAAAATCTAGATTTAATTTACAATGATACCTTCAGGTAACATTTATAAATATCTAGTAGTAATTATAGACAACAACCTTATTTTAAAGCAAATATTTCAATAACTCGTTTGAAAAGACAGCTTCCCGTCTTTACTTGGTGCAGAAGATATGTCACCTGTTGACATAGGATGCAGCTAAAGATATTCATATTTCTATAATACTACTATAATGAGGTGGCCTATAACTCAACCTAATTTTGAAATTTTGAAAGTCCTAGATTATGTCGTTTTGATTTTCAACTGACAATTTTTAGTTTTTATATTTACACCTAATTGAAACATGTACTACTAATTTTCCAACCTACTAAATCGTTAAATGTATTTTTGACCTACTAAATTTTCAACCTACTTAATATTCAACCTACTTTATTTTCCATTCTATAAGCTTTTCCGGTATGTATTTTGTATATTTTGTTGTTGATTTGAATACGAGCCAAGTTTGATCAGCCTCGATGCTGTGGTTGAAGCGCTGCACAGTGGGCCAGAGGTAAGCAAAACACTTCAAAACCAACTTTTATATTGGAGAAATTTCTTTTCTAAATGTAACCTAGAGACCTCCGTCACTCTGAAAATGATATAACTTTTTCCCTACTGTGATTTTTGAGCTCAGTATGTCAATTTTACTACAAAAATGGCAATATTTTATTTTTCAAATATTTGTGAAAATGTAAAAAATCATATAAAAATGAAATATGAGGGCAACAAGACACTTTTTCAACATTTTAGTTTCTTAAAAGTTTATATTATTCAATTGACATCATATATTGAAATAAAAAGTAGAAATATGATAAAAATAAATAAAAATAGATAAAAATTTACAACCAAATTTTCTGAGCTCAGCTAAGCGCAGTATTTATTATAAATGATATCTGATCATATATTTTGCTTTAAAAATATACGATTAGATATCATATATTTTTAAAGACGCAAAAAGAACAGTTTTATTAGCTTAAATCATTTTTAAACATTGTTAATTTTTTATCATTTTTATCATTTTAAATCATTTTTAAACATTGTTAAAATCATTTTTAAACAACACTTTTAATGTTGTTGTGAAAAGTTATGGAACATTTGCTGAAAAAAATAAGAATTTAGAGACTGGGAACAAATAAACCCTAAAATTTTATCCCTCCCTCACCCAAAATGTGAGGGCAACGAGTTGATGAAATATTCAAAATTTTGGGGCTTATTTGCTCCCAGCCTCCAATCTTCGCAATTTTTATAATCGATCGAAAACAATTTAAGCCTCAGTAGGTTATCTGAAAATTAGTTCCATTGTTCAGTAGATGTTCTTTTTGTAGAACAACTTAGTAGGTCGAGATTTTTGTAGGTCTAACTATCTGACACGGATAATGACATTTTTAAGCATTGTAAGTTTGAAGAACACTAGTAACCAAATAAATAAAATTATCAGTTTAGAAGCTAGAGCTGTTGCAATAATTTTGAACAATTATATAAATAAAGTAATCATTGTTTCATCAATAAACGAATTTTTTAGAAAAAGAGTTTACATACTAGCAATTTCAAAAACTATTTTACAGTACAAAAACACTCAAAACAAACGCCCAACAATAATCTATCTGTTGTAATTCCAACGATAAAACTTTAAAGTACAAAAAAGACATTTTATTAAGTAGGGTCTGTTTAATGCAATCTTTTAACAAAAAAAAAAAAAAATTGCAAAAAAACCTTTATTTATTTAAATCACTTTTATAAAACTTCTAAATATATTTAAATTTAATTTTATTAAATTTATATTTAAATTTTATACTTTTAATCACGAATAGTTCTTAATTTTATGCTATTTTAAATTTTATTCAGGACACATGTTGATAGCAGTTGTTTATAACTAAAATTTATATCCTGTTAAAGCTTAATAAGTAATTTAATAAATAATAATGATAATAATCACACAAAAAAAAAATAATGATAATAATAATACAAATATCATAATTATAGAAAGTCTGGTACAAAGTTCATTACAAACCAACAAAGACGTTAACGAAGTTGAAAAAAAAACATTTATCTCTCCGCCAATGAAAGATATTGTGCAATGTGCCGATGAATCTGGTCTTAGAATCACACTAAAGCAGAATACAGAGCCACCTGACATAACTGGTGGTATAAAGGAGCATCAAAAAACTTGTGAAAATCTTTTATATAAAGAGGTGTCATGTAGTGAGCCAATGATTATTTGCGAGTCTAATGAAATCAATTTAAATCCTCTTGGTGAATCTGAAGAATTTAGAAAAAGCTCCCAGGGGATAACACCCTTAGTAGCGTCCAAATGTTCAAAGGAGGTCTCCTATGAAGTTAATAATATATCAAGCTCTGCAAACATTTTTTCAACTTTGAATGGCGAGGAGAATGTTTGTGTTCAAATGCAGCATTCAGGTTTTTAATTTTTCACTTTTTAGTTTCAAAAAGTTTAATTGTTTTTGATTTGGTAATATTTCTATCGTTCTTTTTTTCTACTTGCCAAATTTTATTTAAAAAAAAAAAAAAAGACTTGCAAATAAAATAATTATATTTTTAATATTTTTTTTAATTTTATTCTAGAACCACTTCTTCAAATAGAAAGTCATTTTGAAACGTCTCCGATAAAGTCTGTTTTGAATTCCGTCGATCCTTTCCAAACTGGAGATACACCGCCTCCTCTAATCGAACTATGTGATATTTTAGAACCTGAAAAGTCGTCGGAGAATGATCTTATTTTGTTTTAAACCTGATAAGGGTTCGTTTCAAAACTGTGTAAATATAGTTGAAATTCTTTTTTTGTTATTGTATTTGATATCAAATAAAACTTGTTCAATAATAAAGGAATCAGACCATTTCATCGTGTGACCATTAATAGTCTTTGTGAACAATATGATAACATCTCGTTTCGACTACGTTAAAACGGACAGCCCTAATGATGAAGTCGTTTGGGTAGAATAACATTATGAACATAGTCATCTACAAAGGTTGTTACTGTTAAAGATATTATATCATGACCATACGGAACTTTTTTTTTTTTCCATAAAAGTTAAATTTTTTAAAGTTAAAAATTTTTGGGGTAATCTGGGTTGTTTATTATATCAATTTAGCTTTAATACCTATAATAAATATTTACAAAAAACTTAGCTTTGCAATCAAATTTGATTGAGCCGATCATCAGGGTTTTAGGAAATAATCACTTAGGTAAAAATCCCCTGGACATAATTCTCAAATAATCACAAAATAATCACCCAGGTAAAAATCTCCGGACATAATTGCCTGAAAAAAAATCCCCTTGAATTTTTATTTTATACTGACAAATGCCTGCCTTAACCAAAACCCTCTGTCGATGCCAACAGCACTCCTTGCATGTCCTACCTATTTGTCAGTTATATGTACACGGGTTATGACTAACAAAACATCTTTGGTCGCACATGATGAACTTTTGTAACCTAATTATTTAAAAATTATTATTAGAGCTAGTTCTAAACAAAAAGTTTTTGCTTTAAGACGCCCGATGCCATCGTGGTTGTCTTATTTTACTAAAAATATTTTCTCCTAAAGTATATCATGATGGAGCTCAAAAGAGCTTATATTTTATAGAGATTACATAAATAACGATTTTTTTCAAATGTAACCATCTTAAAGTAGGTATTGTTAAAAAAAAAAAAGTCCTCAAGATTGAAACTTTTTTTTTAATTTTTATTTAAAACTATTAGTTTTTTTTACAATAAACTTTAAAAAACTAAATGTAGTTTAAAAGTTTTATTTTTTCAAAACTTTTTATGAAATTTCGTTTCTTTTAAGACCCATTTTGATATACTTTTGACCGAAACATTTTTAGTAATATATGGCCATTATTAGTAATATATGACCCACCATGTGATTTTCTTGATCAGTATTTAAATGTTCATTGATTTCTACTACAGGTTAATTTTTTTTTTTTTTTTTTGCCATAATCCTATTGTTCCACCTATTTGTCGGTCAATGTACACTTCTCGCATGTTTTATTTAATTGTCAGTTGATGTATGAAAAATAAAGGATTAAGGTTTTGCTTGTAAACATAATATGCATGTATAATTATAATGATATAAACAACTATTTTACTGATCGTAAGTTTTATGCGTTGTAAAAAAAAAAAAATTTGGTGAGATTTTTTCCTTAGCGAAACTCACTGGGGGATTTTTTTATAGAGGGATTTTTTCCTGCCACCATTTGCAGCTTTAAAAAAAAAAATTTATATATTTAACTTTAATATTTTAAATATTTAACTTAATTATTTTAACATATTATTTTAAAACAGATATTACAAAAGACACTGAAAGAAATTGAGGAAATAAAATAGCTTTTCTTCTAGCTTATATATTATTTTATTTTATCTATTTTATTTTATATATTATTTTATTTTATCTATTTTATGCAAGATTTAGTTGAAACAAAACAGTTTATTTAGAGCAGCCATAGCGCAGTTGTTAGCGCGCTTGCCTCAGAAGCTAAAGATTCGTGGTTCAACTCCACTTTTGGTCAAGTTTAATAACATTGGCAAGGAGGCGTGAACTTTCTTTCAAATGTTCTTCCGCGGTGCTCTAGGTAAGACTGTAAGGGCTTTTACACCTAAAATAAATAAAACTTTATCCAAAATTTTTAGTTCAAATTTAAAATAAAAAAATGGAAAAAGAAACAGAACTAACTAGAGAGATAATGATGAAAGTAACAAAAGTTTTTACTCGTAAAAACCTTTTTTAGAAAGGTTTTTACGTGTAAATTTTGCAAAAACTAAAAAATAATCTTGCTGCAGGATATTTAGGTCATAATTTAAAAGAACAAAATATTGAAACTTATATAAATTTTGCTTTCTTATAGGTTATAACAAAAATATGTATTAATATTTATAAATATGTATGTATATTTTCTAATACAAAGATAACATAGGTACATCAATGACAAAAACAATAAAAATTATCAAAAAAAGTACTAAAATACGTAATTTATTCATATGATGACATTTTAAAATGTGTCATCTTCAGATACAATGTTATAAGAGATACTTTGTTTATGACAATATTTATCAGAATGGCCTCATTCATACCGTAATTTGCAAAGTAATTTTGACTTGTACCTCTTGTAGAGTGCCGGGTACCCGGTTCGGACCCGTGGACCCGGTAGTTCGACGGTTTTACAGGGTACCTGGAATCAGCCATTTTGTTGATCTATTCGACACCGGGTATCTTTAAAAATATTTTTAACAAACATAACCTTTAAGTGCTGCAACTAATAAATAATAGTAATAATAAAACAAATTTTGCTTTAGATTTACTTTAAATTGTGTAGAAATATTGTTAACCAGGTAAAAAATAGTGCTTCAACAATAAACTTCTTGATATTTTCAGAAGTTGATAATTCATATGTACTAAATCTAGACGTGTCTCACTTAAATTACGTTTTCGAATATATTTTTGCTATATTATATAGCAAAACGTTGATAACAGTTAATATTGCAAAAAGGAAACTGATTTATACAGATATAAAAACCGTAAAGTAAAACGAAATAATATAAGAAAACGAAAGAAATAAATAGAAAAAGAAAGAAAAACAATAACTAGTAATTGCTTCTTTTTATTGCTTAGAACGTGAGAGAAAAGAGCCTTTTCAATAAATAAACGTTAAAACCAACGACCTTTTAATCAACTTAAACAGTTTTCAACTGAGCTTTTTCCCCATAAAATTTGACAAGTCGGACGAAAAATCAATGGTTTTCGCAGGGCTGACGATACGGTTTTTAAAAGTGAGGGGGGGGGGGGAGAGAAGGTGATTCTACCTCATTTCAAAAAAAGTTCCTCGATTTTTTATTAAAAAACCGCCAATTTCTTTAATAAAAAGAAAGAAGGTCCACACAGAAAAAAATAGGGAAAGGGGCGTGCTCCTTTAGAAACGAAAGTGGGCACGCTCCCTCTTCTTTCTGAGGCAAGCTATCTACCACTGCGCCACGGCTGCTAAAAAAAAAAATTGCATAATTTTAGGGAGTTTTAATTATTTTTTAGTTATTGTTTAAAAAATCTAAATTCGGTTCAAATGAAGTTTTCAATCATTTATTCTCGGAAAAATTTGTCACAAACAAAAATCATAAAAGAAATTAAAATGAAATATAGCAAAAAAGTGTTGTCTAAATTATTTTGATTTGATTAAATTTTTTTTTTGTCCTTAATTTTTTTAATGGACTTAATTTTTTTAATGGCACACCTCTAATCTCTTGCCAAAAAAAATTTGTCAGATGATATCTACATTCAGTTAATGGTGTCTGTTAAATTGACAATTTTTGAATTTTATTTTTTGGGGGTTTATATTAATGATAATATTTTGTATATTACCTTTTAACCCTAAATCATAAAGATTTCCCAAACCACTTTCCTCATTATTCAAAATTAGCTCCCAAGAATGACCAATCAGTTTGTGAAGTGATTGTGTCATATTGATCCATGGTCCATGTAAATGCATTTTTGTAACAAGTGAAAACTTGTTAAATAAAAATCTGTACAATAGTTTTTATATTGATCTTCATAAATTTTTCTTTTTGAGGAAAATACTCAAAGAGTTACTGAGAGCACCAATTCAAATTTTTGAAGTGTTGCATGATATTGAACAGGCAATTGTGTAATAATTAAACCCCCAAAATATAATTTTTTGCAATAGTTTTCTAGCTATATAACCTATTGTATCAGGGTAGTCCCATTTTATACCTGTTTGTTTTAAAATCTTTTTTTATGTGTCTGCTTGCTTCAAAAATCTATTTGAAGTACTGACGGGAACTACGATCAATCAAAAACACTAGCTTTCACATGTACAACAGTCTTCATGAAATGGTCAAATGTACCCAGTAAAGCATGAAGAACCTATAAAAACATCAGTAATTTTTAAATGCAACAATCTTTAATATCAAGTATGTTTAAATATTAAAAATATAAAATAATATAAACACTATTAAAAGTTACCAATTTAATTGTACTTGGTTAAATATTTCATTCATATTTATAGTGTCTCTATTTAAATTTTTTTTGTTGTTGTTGAAAAACAGAGGTTGTAGTTTTAAAGATTTTTTTTTGAAAAGTCGGCAACGCTTCGTTTTCTGCCATAAATGCAACCAAATTTATCAAACAGGTTCCGACGGGCGTTTGTTAAAAGTTACGTTCTAAATGTCTTTTTAAATGTTCTTTTTTAAAAGAACATTTAAAAGACGTTTAAAAAACGTTTAAAACACATTTAGAACGTAACTTTTAAAATCAAATGCATGTAGCGGTTATTTATTGATACTTAATTTATAATTACCTGGCTAAAATAAGTTCAGAATTTTTTAATTAGAAGCTTTTATAACGCATGTTTGAGGGAGAAGAAGGGAGAGGTGCTAGTTTATATTCGTAAAACCTGACTTTCTATACTTTATCAAACTTGTATAATATTTGTAATATATCTTTATAATATTCGTTTGTATATTAATTACCATTAGTTACCATTTCCATTGATACATATGATAATTTAAATAAATATGTAATGATTAACGCTAATAATTTTTTTTTTTATAGAACTAAAGAGCTAAAAAAAAAATTTATATAGTGCCATTTTTTTAAATCAAATATCGACCTTTTTTATTTCCCCCTTAAAAATGAAAGAAATACGACTGTGAGTACTGCAGGTTGTTTAAAAAGTTTACGAAGAAAGAAACGAAAAGAAAACACGTTTAATTAAAAAATGAATATAGTATATTACAAGTGCTTTTACAAACTGCATACACTGTAGCATCAAATTTGCTAAACATGATGTTAACGTGATTATAATAAAAAAAGATTATAAACAAAATTTACAGGTTTTTTCAAATATAGTTGAAAAGATATAAAATAAAAATTACAAAATACTAACAACTAAAAAAAAGAACAGGGAATCTTTCAAGAAAATATATTTTTTGTCAATTGTCATAAATCTTTAAACCGGTTGTTCAGTTAGCCTATTCTTTTGTTCTTTTAAAATAACTTGCCCCTCTTTTTTACTGTTGTGATGCATTTCAATAGTTACAATATACAAAAGGGCGCCTGAAACACCTCCAACTAGTTGAGCCAAGATAGGCGCCCAAAAATAATAATTTTGGTAGCTAAACATAATAAAAGGATCAATTTTTTAACTCTTTTTTTCTTTTGTGAAAATATTTAACAAACTAACAAAAAAACTTCTTCGAATTACCTTAGTGGTGCTGATTTCCACCCTGCAATTGATGTAAAAAGTCTTGGAATAAGATTACGAGCTGGGTTAATACCATATCCGCAATTAAGACCAAACGAAATACCAATACCAAGTACAACTATTCCAACACACAATGGCAACACTCGAGGGCTTGGTGCGTTGTTACGTTTATCTGTCAAAGCAAATATAATACCGACAAGAAGTCCACTACTAACAAACTAAAATATAAAGGTATGTACTTAAATTTTATTAAAAAATAACTTTGGGATGCATCTACTAATTATTTAATATTAAAGATTTAAAAACGTTTTAAAATCAATAAATTCAGTAAATTAAAAATTTAAATATATAAGATTCAAAAGTCAATAAATTGATAGATACCTGGTCGACAAACGTAGTTACGGTTGAGACACCAGAAGAAGGACGAGTTGTCCATATCCACGCCGTATCGACTTTTCTAACCCCTCCGTCATATTCGTTTAGCATATCTATCATTGAGAAATTAATCTCAACAAAATTTGTATAAATAACGCCTTAATCAACTAAGATTGTACATTTTTTCATATATTTTTACCGTAGTAAACTCCGTAAATAACTGCCGAGGCAATAAAAGCTCCAAGACTTTGGGCAATCCAATACACAGGCAACTTTTTCCAAGGTAATCGTTTAGTAACGGCCATTGCTAGTGTAACAGCAGGATTCAAATGACCACCTATATATAGTAAGAATGCAGTTTTAATTTAAAAAATAAAATTGTATGAAAAAATCACTAAAATTTATAAAACAAAGAGTTATTACTAAACCTTTTGAACAGAAATTAAATTCATTTGGAAGAGAGGCAAATTTTAGTCACGTTTCACTAAGTTTATTTTAGTAAACTTTGATGGTAAAAAGTTAAACAAAATAAAGCACAAAAGTTATTCGGCTAAATGTTTACCTGAAACACCAGCAGACCAATAGATCCCAAACATTACACCAATTGCCCAGCCGAAGTTGATTGATAATATTCCTCCAAATTTTCCTTTTCCAAGGACAACTTGAGCAATACTCCCCACTCCAAACATCTGAAATAATTTAAAAAACAATAACAATAACAATTAAATATGAAAAATTATAACCCATTAAATAGTATATATATATATATATATATATATATATATATATATATATATATATATATATATATATATATATATATATATATATATATATATATATATATATAAATTTATATATATATGTATATATATATATATATATATATATATATATATATATATATATATATATATATATATATATATATATATATATATATATATATATATATATATATATATATACATATATATAGTGGAGATTTTTTACTTTTTGTAAATAGGATCAAGTTGATTAATAGCTATCTATCTTTTTGCTGGTTTTAAGCATCTCCTGTTGAGTTTTGTGAAACATATTCTAATTTTCTATTTCAAAGAAAGGATGTGCACATGGAGAGTTTTATTTAAATTGTTCAATGTTAGAATCCTCAAAGTATTTTAGAGTAGTATCAACTTCAATGCAACTTTGTCTTATTAAGTCACAGAATATATAGAAAAAAGAGCCTTTTCAATAAACGCTTTTCAAAAAAAACTTGAGTAGTTTCAAACTCAAAAAAATTGAAGTAGTTTTAAATTCAAAAAGTATTGTTTGTGAAGTTTTTTCCACCGCTTGTACTCGGTTTAATAATTCTTGAAACACTCGTGAGTAACTTTATTATTTTTTATTGAACAACAAAGCTGAAACTTATGGTAGATAAGTTGTCCGATTCTAGTATGTATTGTTTGAATTTAAATAAAAATTTATTTAGCTGAAATAAAGAGGCACGCTTTAAAACTGCTGTCATTAAACCAGCCATCCGATGATGCGTCCTCAACAGCACTATCAAATAGAAGAAAATGGTTACTGTTTAGTATTTGCCGGGAATGTAATAGTAAAAACTGTTGATTGGTTAGTTGGATTCAAAAGCCTTTTTGACACCCTGTCTTTTTGAACAAAGTGTTTTATTTAAGTTTTCAATACAAGGCAAACTTGTACTCTTCAAACAAACGAGTTTCATTTGCAATTTTTTTAGGCGTATAACGCATACAAACGAACGAATTTCAGTTACAAATTCTTTTTGAAACACATTCACATATACTTCATGAATTCATTTTCTAAATTTAATGTGATGAGTCAAACTCGGTAGTAAAATCATTAATTAATTTATTAGAGAGTGTTAATTTTCTAGTGTTTTAATTACAGGAACACGCATTGGATGGTCATCTGAAGTACGCAACCTAAGATTAAGGATAAAACACGGCTGAATGATAGCTAAATTTTATACCAGCTCATTTATCACACGCTCTGCAACCATTTGATGTGGATGTATACTTTTATGTTAAAATTGTTTGAGAGTTTTTATTTATGCCCATCGTTGAGAATATATTGAAAGAATATTCTGTTATGCTTTTCCCTCCTTAACATTTGTAAGTGATGCATAAAAGTGCATATATTAGCATAAAAGTGCATATATTAGCAAAACAGTTTAGTTCTGATTAACAATAATGGTGGTAAATTAAAACTACAAATATAATTGCAATAGTCTCTGCGTCTGATATAAAAAATGATGAAAAGTTAACCTAGATCTCAAAAGAGCCCTAATATGCAGTCAAACAGGACGACTGTCAAAGTACAATTTTCATTACTGCAAATCATGCAGGACGACTGCCAAAGTACAATTTTTATTACTGCAAATCTACGTGCAATCAAAAAACATACTAAAAAAAAAAGTTTTTACCATAAGGTAGGATATGCAATGTAAGGTAAAGTTTTATATCTTCTGAGGTAGAAAATTGTAATAACAAAGTTAAAATGGTTAGCATTATTGTGAAAGTATAAATTATAATACTTTAACTATAAACCAAAATAATTTTAAAAGTAAAAATATTTGAACAAAATAAGCAGTTTTAGCTGTTATAATAAAATATATGCAGCCGTGGCCCAATGGTAGCGCACTTGCCTTAAAAACAAATGCTCCGTGGTTCAAACCCCACCTCTGGGCAAGTTTTGCGACATCGGTTAGGAAGGAGGTGTGAACTTCCTATTAAATTCTCATCCACGGTGCTCTGTGATGAGACCGTAAGGACTTCTTGGGGCACCTAAAATAGGAAAAAAAAAAAATGCATCTGTGCCGCAAAAAATTATCATTTAAAAAAAATTAAGCTGAACAAAAAACAAATAAAAAGTTTTTATAGAAAAAATAATTTATTGAAAAAATACCGCCAAAATTACTAAAGGTGAGTTTCCACTCATCCGTTTTTTCACGGGAAAGGGATAGGAAAGGGAAAAATAATCACGTGAGCATGCGTAGTTTTCCTTCGGACATATTAAAACTTATACTACGCATGCCCACGTGATTATTTTTCCCGTCCCTTTCCCGTTCCCGTAAAAAAACGGATGAGTGGAAACTCGCCTTAAATCAGTTAGTAATTAGGTCGTCCATGAAAAAATAATGCAATTTATTTGTATCAGAAAAAAAAATCATAAATTCTATTTTTAAATCTAGAATTGCGTGCTCATTCAAATATTGCGTTTGAAAACGTTGTCAAATCTATATGTTGGATTTCAAAAAATAATGTTTTAACTTAGTATATATGCAATATATTGTAATTTATTTAGTAAAAAAGTTTTAAAAATACGATTTTTAAAGAAGAAGAAGGATTTTCAAATGATACTAAGGTTGGTCTGTAGTTAAAGCTGACATAACTTTTTATTTATTTTTTGCTAATCAGTAACTATTTCTAATTGATTTCTATTATCATTATTTCTGTTTTTAAATTACTCATTTATTTGAAAAATAAGTTTGTAATAATTTCTTAAAAGTCAATTTATTAATTATCAAATATCTGAATTGCTAACCCTTTTAAGGCGGTACATCAAATTAGCGATTTCAAATTCTAAGTTTTCAAAAAACTAATTGTTTTAACTGTTAAGGTGGTACGCCAATTTTTTTTAGCTGTTAAGGCGGGTGCATAAATTAATTTTTAAACGGTTTTCAGCCAGTTGTGACTATTGCAATGTAGAGTAATAGCTATAGTTACAAATTAATATACAAATTAATAAAACATATAAATTAATAAAAAAATTAATAAATAATGTTCACTCTAAAAAGAAATTAAAAATTTATGAAGAAATCGTAATTACTAATTTAACACCGTTAAAAAAAATGCTAAAATTAGAAATGAAATAAAAAAGAAGAATTAAGAATGGAGTTTTCTGATTTTTAATTATTTTATTAAGTATATAACAGTAATAATTTATATTTTAATTGGTTTCGTCACAGAGTATTGCGGAATGGCATAAAGTCATTTTCCGCTACCTTCCAGTTAATTTTAAATATATTGTATATATGTAAGACAAAAAAAGTTTGAAAAGCTTTATTTGATTATATTGTGAGGAATATTATAAAATAATTTGTAATTTAAAAGGATTAATTGATAAGTTGAGAAAAATGCATTTATAAATACGTTTATTGTTATTATATAAACTTTTGTGTATCTGTATTTTTATTATAGTTTATTTTTATAAATTACATTTTTCGTATAAGATTATTATTGTTTTTTTTTATTATAAGGGCAAATTTTAGTTTATGCTTATAATAATTAAAAAAAAAACAATATTCTTATTCGCAAAATGTAATTTAAAAAAAAACTCTAGACAACTATGAACTTGATAACTGTCTATACTAAAAACAAGGTTTTTGAGTTTTTGAATACTTATTTCATATGATTTTTGAGTACTTAGGGTAGATTAGGGTAATATGAGCACCTTAAGGGAAAATTTGAATATTTTCAAAAATAATTATGCTGGATTCAAAAATTTTGCGAATAAACTATTTTTAGGGATTCTTACTCATGATCCACTTAGATATTTGGGCATCCGAAATTTTTTCTTAAAAGGACAGATGTTTTAAAGAAGCTCATATTGCCTAGACCACTTGGTAATATTAGCTCATAAAAATAACATTAATTAAGTGAAAAAATACCAACCTGACAATTAAAACTAATTTTTGGATTATAATAATTCTTTATTTTCAAAAGTCATCATTAAAAGATCGAATTTTTTGCCATTTTTTTGCTGAAACAGTACTACTATGTTTTCCACAAGAAAAGAAAAAAAAATTAGTTCTTTATTTTTTGAATTTTATTAAACTCAAAACTTTGAACGATAAAAATTCAAATTTTTTAATTATAAATTACAGAAAATTATTTAGCATTGTTCAAATATTAATATTTTTTTGCTATTTTTTGTTTTTATTCAAAAAGCAATTAAAACCACTGCTATTTTAGGACTTTAAACTAGGTGATTTTAATGAAAAACACTGGGTAATTTGAGCATTCTCATATTTAATTGCCCTGATAGTTGCCCTCCTCCTTCTTTACTAGTCTGGATCCACCGAATCAAAAAATCTCCCCTCCCTCTCTTTTTCTTTCTAAATGGTCTGGATCAAGCGAATCAGAAAAACTTGAAAATGGCTTTCCCCTCTCCCCCTCCCACCCTTCCATGCCCTTAGGGGTCGTCCATAAATTACGTCACGCAATAATGGGGGAGGGGGTTGGTGGTTTTGTAACGACTCATTCAAAACTCGCTTCTTAAGTGTTACGATTTTGTGACGGGGGTGTGGGGGTGTGTGTGTGTTCGAAAACGGTCAAAAATTGCGTGACGTAATTTATGGACGACCCCTTACCAAATTGTTTATATATATTCAAAATTAAATAAATAATGTCATTTTGCTTTTAAAACAAAATAAAATAATTAACATTTTGCTTTAAAAAAATAAATAAATAATGTGCATTTTGCTTTCAAAACAAAATGCACATATTTCTTAATACAAGTCTTTAAAATACTCGATAAAAATAAAAAATAACAAATTGAAAAAACAAATAACTTACTAATAGAATGAATGTTCCCATTGTTTCTGCAAGAAATTCACGTATATATGGGGACGAAATTTTTTTGGTACAAAAACAGCTTATTTTCCACCTTTATTTTAAATACGTTTTATTAAAAAAGTTTTTTTTTTTTTTTAATTAAAAAAAATATATAATTATCTAACCTAGTTTGAAAACGTCGCGTTATTTTAGAGTTCGTCTGAAGCAAGGGATCCATTGCAACAAGATGATCTGCTGACTGAAAAACAAAAGTAATTCTGATTTAAGATAAATTTTTCTGTGCAATATTATTAACAAATGAATTATTTAAAGAAATTTTGATTTTATGAATAGTTGCTTTGAGTTCCTATGATCGGAATACATTAATATTAAAATATTTCAATGGAGACGAATAAGTTATTTAGAAAAAAACTATTTATAAACTTTTGACTAACATGAAAAAACTTCCCTAAAATGCTCCCACGAGATTTAGAAATAATAATAATAGTAATAATGATAATAATAACAGTTATAAATAATATTATTTTGTTGTTACTGTTATTATTATTGTTGTTGTTGCTACTACTATAATTATTATCATTATTAAATCCGTTTTTGGTTATGAAAAACCATAGATTTTGCTAAATTATTATTTATTAAACATAAAAGTACTCAAAGTAGCAACATAAATCTAAAAAAAAAATCAATACTTTTCCGTAAATGTTTTATGGGAAAAAAAATGAAGGTGAATCGGATAAAAATAACTGTCAACTGAAAAGCAATTTAATTTTGAATAAGAAATTAATTGACACATTTTATGAAATTGACTTTTTTTAATCGTATTAAAAATATTTTTTTGTTTTGTGTATATTTAAGCTTTCTGTTAATCATTTAAAGTTGAAAAAAAATCAGTGTAGCCATTTTGATATCTTTATAAAAAGCTTTATAATTATTTAACTAAATACTTTTCAGTTGTTAGAAGAGAATTACAAGTCAGAAGATAGGGTTATAAAATTTCCACTCCTGTATTTTTTTACTTACCAGTAAAAATCTAATATTAAACTTTCATGCTAAAAATTTTGAGTAAAATTTCATGTTAAATTTTGACAGTAACATCTCTATGTTAAGTCTTTTATGCCATTAGGAGATTTTTACTCCCATAAAAATATATTTTGCAACGACATAGTAATTGTAAATACTTCTTAAACGTTCTAATCAGGGTCGTCCTAAAGAGATCTTAAAAAGATTAAGATGGCTGAGACGCCATCTCAGTTTTTTTTTTTTTCTTACTAACTAGGATCTATATAGATTATATATACTAACTAGGATCTGTATAGATTTCTGTTAATAGCTATTAACAGAAATAATAAAAAAAAAGAATCTTCTATGGCTGCCATTTGGAGACTGCCAACTATAAATCTAATTTTTCCAACTCCAGTGTTCAAGTTTACTGACAAATAAGTTCATAACACTTTTTATGCAAAAAATATTTTACAGATGTGCGAATAGATCTATTCTTTCCGCAAAAGCCACTAGTGGCTTTTGCGGATAGAATATATAACTTTTAGATTTTATATCAAAATGTATATAAAGCTTTATATACATTTTGATATAAAATCTAAAAGTTTTAAATTAGTCGCAATAAAATAGGCTATAAAATATAACTTTATTAAAAAATTTTTTATACCATATGCATGCATTCTATCAAGTTTTCCTTGCCTTTCCATTAAGGCAAATTATTTTTGTAATGGCTAGTTATTGAGACAATAATTTTCAATGTGCCACTTCCGCAACATTGTCAAAACAACGTTTTATTAACGTTGGCAAAATATCACTTTTTCAACGTTTTTTAATTACCACATTTTCAACTTACGTTGAAATAACGTTGATTAAGTGTTGTTTTTCAAATAGTTTAAATTCGTTGAAAAAGTAGCTAATGTCTAACGTTGATAAACCATTACCTTTGCGACGTTTTTACAGTGATAATTTGCGTACTTATTTTCAACGTTTAATAAACGCATTTTTTTGAGAAGATAAAATACGTTTACATTTATACGCTTATTCAACGTTGAAAATATAACGTTTAAAAAGCGGTTTGTTTTTAACGTTGATAAAGCATATACTTCGAAACGTTTCTAAAGTGGCTTTTTGCGTAAGTTGATTCCACGTTGAATAAACGTTTTATTTTGAGAGGCTAAATTACGTTACAATTTCAACGCTTATTCAACGTTTCAATTTACCGCGATTTAGTATACAAAAACAGACATTGATTCAACGTTGAAAGCACGTTGTTTTTGTGACTGTAGCGCTTTTTCTACGCTGCGACTGGTTTTCAACGTTGATTCAACGCTTACATGTTTGCTGGGCAACAACTTTCGATATATGTACTTTCAACTGTCAGGGACTTAAGTCAAACATTGATTTTACAAAGTCACTTATACAATCCTATGATATAACTTTCTTATGTGAACATTGGATATCTAAACTTGAATACTCCGTAATAAGGGATATATCTAATAACACACACTCCATTTATTTCCATCAGTCTAATAAACATGAAAAAGGCCGACCGTTTGGCGGAAATGCGTTTTTTGTAAGAAAAAATAAATTCCAAAATATAAGGGTAATTTACGAGGACGACCATATTTTAGCAATAAATTTCGAAAAAAACAATCTTAATATTATAGTTATTGGGTTATACCTCTTCTCATCGCGGAATAGCCTCTCGTCTCTGGAAGAATATAAAGGTCAACTAGATACTGTTAAAGGTCTAATTTATAGTTACGAAGGTAACGGCAATATAATATTAGCAGGTGACTTCCAATCCTTTCCACACCAAATGTATGATTTATTTGAAAGATCAAATTCTAAAAGAAATAGTTATTCTGTGCACTTATCGGAATTTTTAAAAACAAATCAATTAGAACTAGTAGATGTAACTAAAGGTTCTGGCCCTAATTATACATATCGACACCAGACACTACCGAATTCGTCATATATTGATCACTTCGCCGTATCAAAATATTCAAGTTTTATAAATCTTAAATGCATTGTTCATCCTGAATGCTCAAATAATTTGAGCGACCACCTACCACTATCAATATCAGTTGAAGTTAAGTACACCGAATGCAATACCATTGAACTAGCAGAAGATACTATTATACCTAGCTACGCTTGGAACGATTCTAACTTTATAAATTCTTACAATGTTCATTTAACCAATCGCTTTAACAATCTTAATTTTACTAACGAATATGAATACGACCTTCTCCAAATCTATAAAAAAATTACTGACAGCGCTCAAATAGCTTTTAAGGAGACTTTAAAAAATAAAAAGCAATGTTTGTATTCAAAATCTTGGTGGACACCTGAATTAAGTCGGTCTAAAACTATTCTTTCAATTCATTTTAAAAAATGGAGAGATTCTGGTTTTTCTAAAGAGTTAAACTCGGTATCATTTAACCGTTACCAAATGGCTCGTAAAAACTTTCGTAAAGCCGTCAAGTCGGCTCAAAATAATAAAATTTGCGCACAATATATTAAAATTGAAAAGTTAAAAAATACTAAACCAAAAAACTTTTGGAATGCTTTTAGATGTTTAAACAAAGACATAAATTCTAGATTATTTACCATAAATAATAAAAAAAGACAAAGAATCTATTACTTCAGAATTCGCAAACCACTTCGAAAGAGTACTGAATACTCCAAAAATAACACATCGTAAAGAAAATCAGAGAATTCCCCCGTGTACAAAACATGATGATGTAACAATAACTGAAGAAAATATAATTGGGGCTATTTCAAATTTAAAATTAAAAAAATCTCCTGACTCTTTCGGTATCTCAGCAGAACATTTGAAATACGCAAAGTGCGATACTTTAACAAAATGGCTCATCAAATTTTTTAATTACTCCATTAATTATGGATCGACTCCAATATCAATGTCGACGTCAACTATTGTACCCCTTGTTAAATCGTACAAAAAGTCTTTAGATAGCCCGAGCAACTATTGTGGTATTAGTATTATACCAATTTTTACAAAGGTTCTGGAATACCTGATCTTAATTATATGTCCGGATATTAGAGATACTCACTCCCTACAATTTAGATTCAATGCTAACTCTTCAACGCTACATGCTGAATTTCTAATAAGCGAAACAATTAAACATTACAACAGCAACCATTCCCCTGTGTATCTATGTTCTTTAGATGCAGAAAAAGCTTTCGATAGCTGTAACTGGAATATCCTATTTGAAAAATTATATTTCGATAAAAAATTACCACTATGTATAGTTAACACTATCTCCTCGTTGTATAACAATAGTAGCGCAACAGTCTCATATCAAGGTTGTAAATCAAACTCTTTTCCTCTAAACCAAGGAGTAAGACAAGGATCAATTCTTTCGCCTCACCTCTATAATATTTACACTGAAAGTCTTCTCGAAACTATTAAAAATCAGGGTATTGTTGGCACATCTATAAACGGTAACTTTACTGGTGTGGTAGCCTATGCGGATGATATAATACTTTTAAGCTCTACCTTATCTGGTCTCAAAAAGCTTATAAAAACATGCAATATTTACAGTAATCTAAATTGTATTAAACTGAATGCCGAAAAGACTGAGTTCTTGATCTCAGGTAAAGCCTAAATACAAACTAATACAATAACAATTTCTGGTAATAAAAAAAATCTTCAGAATAAACTTAGACATCTGGGATTCACATGGGATACTAAACATTCAGTTTTTGCTTCACTCGGTTATTCAAATGTTGATGAAAAAATATCAAACTTTAGAGCTGTTGTTCAAACTCTTATTCAATCTGGAATCCGGTTTGTCCACCCCAGTTCTATTTCCTATATATATAAATCATTGGCAGTCCCCACCTTAACTTATGGTATGGAGCTATGTGAAAATAATCCTGGTCTGATGAAAAAGCTAGATATAATTGGAAGGAGTGCGCTAAAATCGTTTTTAAATGTTTCAAAACATAGTAAAAACTATATGAATTCGTTATTTAAAATCCAGGAAATTTCAAAAAGTGTTCAACAAAATAAGTTAAACTTGTTCCTTCGACTTCTTAATAACAAAACAACTGCAGACATTATCTTTTCACAACCGCAACACCCGTTATTTCAACATTCGTTTGTTAGTGTTAATTATAGGTATAATTGGCATAAGTGCGAACTGGCATAAGTGCGAAGCAGTTATAAAAGCTGGCATAAAGCCCGTTCTCCATTCAGAACTTTTTGCGCTTTAGAGAAGCAGAAAAGTTCTTTGAGCATGCGCAAACAGTTTTTTTAAACCCGTTCTCCAATCAGAACTTTTTGCGCATGATCAAAGAACTTTTCCGCTCCTCCAAAGCGCAAATAGTTCTGAATGGAGAACGGGCTTAAGTGCAAACTGGCATAACTGCGAATTGGCATAAGTGCGCCGAATAAAATTTCAAATATTGGCATAAGTGCAAATTAGTATTTCGCACTTATGCCGATTCGCACTTATGCCAGTTTGCACTTATGCCAATGTTTGCAATTTATTTGGCGCATTTATGCCAATTCGCAGTTATACCAGTTCGCACTTATGCCAGTTTTTGTAACTGCTTTGCACTAATGCCAGTTTGCGCATATGCCAGTTTGCCAGTTTTTGCAACGCTTCGCACTTATGCCAGTTCGCACATTGTTGGCAAGAGGGAGGGGGTAAGGGGTAAAAATTTCAAAAAATTTGTTGACGTAGTTAATCGGGACAGTCCCTAGAGGGTTAGCTAACTTTTGGATGATCCAAAAGTAGGTTTGCGATTTTGAAGAAAACACAGACCTAGAACGTCTTCACGAACTATTGCGCAGGAGAAGTTTTTATTAAAACGTAAAACCTATTTTTGAATCATCCAAAATAAACATTGTTTTTTATAAACGAAGTCATTATTTGTACGCGCGTACAAATAAGGTTTACATAATAGAACTCTAATTTGTACGCAAAAATAAATTTTATATTTTTATTTTTTGCTGCATTAATATATTGAGGTAGTGCAGTGGTTGTACAACTCTACTACTACTGCGGCGTAAGTGTCGGTGTTTCGGGTTCAAATACTTATTAGGGAAATTATTTTTATGTTTTTTAACTATTGTTGTTGTTTATTTATACTTATATTTTTTATTTATTTTTATCTTTCAAAGTTTCATAGAATACTAGCAGTAAGCAACCCGTAATACGCGTTGTTAATAAATAAAATTAAAAAAAAAACTGCGTATAGAAAAGCCTAGAAACTACTTTAAAATAGAAAAGCCTAGAAAATGACGTAACTCGACTAATATTAAATTGGCGTATTCATATTATTAGAAGTGCATCAATGCATGCATAAATTGACTGATGTAGTTGCAGTAGAGTATGCTGATTTAAATAGGAATAGCTACTGTAGAGTGTAAATACATTGACAGACTTAAATAGGCATAGGCGCAGTTGCCCAAACATGCATCGACTGACTTAAGTAGGGATAGGCGCTGTGGAGTGTACATATATCTACTGAGGATTTAAGTTTGGGGAGGTATTCTATAAAAAATTTTATATTTATTTAAATTGAGTTTATAAATAAAATTTTTGTAAAAAAATTATAAATTTAATTTAAATTAAATTACACTTTTGAGTGAAATCATCCAAATAATTAAAAATGATTAGACACTTATGATTAAATACGCGCGTAAAACTAAGAAAAAATTATTTGTACGCGCGTACAACTAAGAAAAAATTATTTGTACGCGCGTACAACTAAGAAAAAATTATTTGTACGCGCGTACAAATAAGAAAAAATATTTTGTACGCGCTACGAATAATTTTTTTTCTTAATTATACGCGCGTGCAAATAATGCCTACCTTTTAAAAATTCAAGTTCTTAAACAAATTGTTGTAATGAAATGAATGAAGACAATGATTCCCATCGGTTTAAGCATTTATTTTATAACTTTACTTTTTAATACTATCTTTATGATGTAGATTGCACATTTTGATATTTGTAAAAAAATATAATTTATATTATTTATGTATTTGTTTAATAAATTCATATTTTTGTTTATTATTTTATTTTTGTTTTATCTTTTTAACACAATAATTATGGCAAATAACTCAGTAAATTTTATTGTTTCAATCTTTAGTACTCTCTTGTCTTTGGTATTTTTGAAATTTGAATTAAATGCTTGGTGTTAGGTACAGTGAAAACTAACTGTACCTAAGGTAGCGTTTTTCGCTAAATGCAGTAAAAATTCACTGTAGCAAAAAAGGGGCACTAGCTAAAGAAACACAAAGCTAATTGCCAATTAAAAGCTATTTAAAATGTTTTTTATAATATATTAATTTATATTATAATATATTAAATAAATAAATGTAAGTAAATATGGAGTATGCTCTTTATAATATAATTAGATATAAATATTATAATATACTAACCATTTCTGATCTAAATTACCATGCCTAAGTCTTAGGCATAGGAGCAGAAATATATTTTTATATAGAAAAACAGTTGAAGCAGCAACCAAAACATCACAATATATGGAGAAAATATCATTGTGAAATTAAAAAAAAATTTAATTTCTTCGGTAGCCGTTTTAAAAGTTTCAAACTTTTTTAAATTATTTGACGCATGCGTACCTAAACATAGCGCTTTTTACTAATATCGAAACGACCGTGAATAAAATGCGGATGTTTAACGCAATAAGTTTTCAGACTTTTAATTTTATGACTATGGTATAATAAACTTAATATAAATAAAGCAATGTGAAAAAAAAAACTTCGGCAGGTCTTTGAAGCGTTAAGCATATATTTTACATACACGTTCCGTAGTTTAATCTTGAAAGAAAACTTATTTTTTAGGAATCTTTAAATTATCTTTAAATATCGCTGAGACGTTTATTAAAAAAATATTAGGTTGTAAAAAAAAAAGCATTAAAGCTGTGAGTTTTTTAAAGAAACAAGTTATTAAAAAAAGTTTTTTTTTAATCAAAACTTTAAATTAAATATATTTTTTAAAATTTAAACTTAGTTTAAAAGGAATGTAAAGTAGTAAAACATTGAGGAGAAAATTAAGTTTAAAGGAACGTAAAATAGTTTTGCCGTTTTTATTAAAGATATTTTTTTCATATCATTTGTTAATTTATTAACTAACACGTAAATACTCTAAACTATATATATCTGTAAAGATAGTTTTATAAGAATCTATATATATATATATATATATATATATATATATATATATATATATATATATATATATATATATATATATATATATATATATATATATCTATATATATATCTATCTATATATATACATATATATATATATATTTATATATATATATATATGTATATATATATATATATACATATTTATATATATATATATATATATATATATATATATATATATATATATGTATATATATGTATATATATATATATATATATATATATATATATATATATATATATATATATATATATATATATATATATATATATATATATATATATATATATTTTAAATAAGTAACAACATATGCATAATATATTTATATGCAAGTACTTTCATAATACAATTATATTCATGTACTTGTTAAATTGTTTTTAAACATCTTCAGATGTTTTTAAACAGTCTTCGATCTGCTCCTTTGTTAAATGTGTGCGTTTCATGATTTTTTCGACAGATTCATTTTTTCTGTGCATTTCTTTAGCTATAGCAATTTTTACTTCTGTTCTCACTTTCGCTTTTCCAATTTTATACCCTTTTTTTCTTCCAATTTTATACCCTTTATCTTTTCCAATTTCATACCCTTTACTATATTGAAAACTTAACACACTAGCTTGATTTAGTAGCCAATTTAATTGATTTTCATAAATATCCTTTTCCTCATTTGTAAAATTCATGGTCTCTAGAACACCAAGAGCTTTCTTCAGAGTAAAAAAATTTAATTCTTCGGGTAAGTTATCTCCATCAAGTAAGGAATTTCTAATAAAAAATGTTATCCAAATGTCTAGAGAGTCTTTAATTTTTTTCAAGATTTCTGTTATATTTTCTTTTGGATTATTGGTAAATTTATTAAGCTCTATAACGTGGAGCTCTACATCTTGGACGAATAGAATTTCTTTTACTAAAGGATAGAAAATATTGTGATAGTTTGGTCTTTGGGGTATTGTAGAAAAGTTTAGAATGTGGATTCCTATTGCTTTATCAAAACTAAAATCTTTTTGTCCCATATATGCCTTCTCTGTAAAATTTTTACTCCAATAATGAAGAGCACGTTTACTGTAATCACCTTCATTTACTATTTTTGTCTCTATGAAGTACCTCACACCCGTTTCTGATGTCGCTTCGGCATCAATTAAAGAAAGATTTTCATCTTTAAAATTTTTTGGATTGTAAGGATTGATGAGCGTTATATCTGCAACTTTATCTTCTTTTGAAACAATTGAATTAATTAATGAAGTTAGGAGATTTTTGTTTTCCTCGACACCAAACAATTTTTTAAAAGCAATACTGACTCTAGGAGTTATTTTATTCATTATAATACTATAAGTACTTTGTTGGTATTCTATTTTTCATAACTGTAAAAGCTCTTCAGCGTTAAATAACTAAAACTGTTTTTGCGGGCATTAATGACCGCAAAAACACATTAAACCAATGCGTCAATCAAATAGCTATTAATCTACTAATTGCCTATAATTAATAGCAAATTTAGAATTAAATTAGGATTTAAATTTGGACAATGTAAAAATATCTTGGTTAGAAAGGCGTGCAAAAAAACGCAAATAATAATATCTTATGAATTAATAATAACTTCTGATAATTTTAATACGCTAATTTAATAGTAGTTAATAGTTGATCTATGTCATTTTCAAGGCTTTTTCTATTTTAAAGTAGTTTCTAGGCTTTTCTACACGCGGTTTTTTTTTTTTTAATTTTATTTACTAACAACCCGTATTACGGGCTAGTATAAATAATTAACTTTGTTTTGTTTGTTTTTGTAGATTAAAAAAAAACAAATAATAACGCTTCACAAATACAAGCTATATAACTCCGCTTTGCACACTCTCTAAACCTATATCGTTAGTGTGGTAATGCCTAATTGGGGTTCGTGAGCCTCTTTGGCAGAGCAGGTTTATATTTATAATTTATAACCAATTTATAATGGCTTCGTACCTTTCACCATGTTTTATGGACAGTTTATGTGTCAGTAGTGTCGGAAAGCGTTTACATTTGTCTCTGAATCCACCATTTTTTACCAAAAATCAATTGGATTAATGTACCGCGTTCAACTTTTAGAATCTCGTTCTGAATATTTATATTATTTTTGCTTGTTTAGGTCTGCGGAATATCTTTTTTGTTGGTTGTTTTTTGGAGGAATTGCAGTGCACATGGGTTAAAGAGCAAAAAGCGCACTTTTTCCGCATACGTGGAGCTTATAAGAGACTTATAATAAGGCTTGTTTTTCTGTTAAATGCATTTCATTGATAGCTCAGTGGTTAAGTTTGCTGTCATCAGTGTTGTTTTGGGGTGATTATGACCTCCTCTTAGTGAAATAAATTTTAATATTTTTTTAATCTTGCTTTTATATTTTTAGCAAAAATAATAATATAGAAAAAAAAGTTTCTAAAATTTAAAATAAAATTTTAAAGTTTTCTCATTTTATAGATATATCATATGCGTTTATTCCATATAATGCCATGGCCTACTATAATTACACGGCCTGATTTGTTGCATTTTCCGTAAAAAATTAAGAGGCCAGTTTTTTTACGGCTTATTTTCTATTATAAGACAACTAACAATATTTAATAATTAAAATAATGTGATTATTTCAATTATTATATCAAAGTTTGGTTTATATTTTCATATTCATGTAGTATATATTTCTGATTATATTCTGACTGATTGTCTGTTTCATTATAATCCATTAGAGAGTGGAATAATAAAATAGACTTACAGACAGTCTACTTGGTATTTTGTATACAGTCGAACTGCTTTTTTTTATGCAATGTTATTCAAGTGGAGATAACTTCAATTATAAATGTAAGAAATCTCAATATTATTGTAGTTTTTGAAATTTTTTTTAGTTATAAAAATGGTTAACAAATGTGTTGTCACAAACTGTAAAGTTGAGCCAAACAAATTTTTCGCATTGACGTTAGTTTGTGGCAAAATAAACCTTTATGCTTTAAGTTTCTTTTTGCATTTATCTTATTTTTTTTTGATTAATTTTAATTTGGGTAAAATACCCAGTGTTCGGCATGCAACCTAGTCTTTGCCACTTAATCACTAAAAAAAATGCATAGTTAAAACTAATTGCTAGAAAGTTTCGAAATTGCATTTAAAAAAAACTCTGATGTTCTCTTTATAATTAGGGTTTTGGTGACGATTACTAGCCCCTTGCTAATAATCGCCACCAAAAGAAAATCAAAAAATTGATTTTTTTTTTCTTTTTTGTAAAATATGAACACTTACACACTTGTCAGTATGGATATGGTTTAATTTTATTTAAAAACAACCGTGTAATAAGCAGTTAAACATTTTCCAGTCTTCGCTAATTTTATTTAGGTACTCCAAGAAGTCCTTACGGTATTATCACAGAGCACCGCGGATGAACATTTAATTGGAAGTTTTCGCCTCTTTTCTAGCCGATCTCGCAAAACTTGCCCAGAGGGTGGGGTTTGAACCGCGGATCATTTGTTTTTGAGGCAAGTGCGCTGCCACTTCGCCACGCTCAATTTACGAAAAAGCCGCGTCTTTTAATGTTCTAAGAAGCAGATGACGTAATTTTAGCAATCAGAAATAATCAAGAGAAGGGGCAAATCTAAAATTGAAGTTTCAAATATTCCACTTCGATGTCAATATGTTTCGTATTTTTCAACTTTTTTATATACAATATAAATATAAACAAATAACATATTTGTTTATATATATTATTTATATAGGAATGGTTAAGCGCAACAAAGTTTAAAAAAAATAAGTTTATATTAAAAAATGATTTTTATAATATTTTTTTGCTAACACTAATATAACATATATGTTTATATTTATTGTTTATATTAGGTTTACGGTATACTAAAAAATTAATATACAGTTAACCGTATAGTATACCGTAAAGTATGTAAGTTTATATACATGTAATAATACATGTAAGTTTATATTCATGTTAGTTTATATACATAAGTTTGCGTTTATTTTAGGCTATTTTATATTTCTCTCTATCTATACTATATGTATATTTTCTCCTCGCAAAAATAATTGAGAATTAGAAAAATAAAAAAAATTCTTCTCGAATTTGTCAAAAGTCTTAAAAGCTATTGTAACGTTTTATTTAAATGTTTGTAAAAAAAATTTAAATAAAAAAAAAAAATAATAATAAAAATGATAATAATATAAAAATAAAACAATAAATCTACAAAAATGACAGTTACATTAGTGAAAATAAAAATAATGATAAAGGATATGTTTGAGGAGTTTTGAGAACAAAATTGAAGCAATACTGAAAAAACAAGAAAGAAAATTTGCAAATATAATTAACGCTAATCTAAAAATAATAAATCAGCGTCTTGATAAAGTGGAAAAGATGTCGAACGACAATGTTAATATTATTAAAGCTATATCAAAAGATGTGGAAGAGTTAAAAACGAGTTTAAATAATCATGAAGAACCTGTTGAGAAAAAGATAAAAACCGCCGTTATCACAGTGGAAAAAAATAAAAATTATAATGAAACAAAAAACAATAAAAGTGAATTTACATATGTAAAAAAGAAATTAAGAGAAATGGAGGACAGGTCCAGAAGAAACAGCCTAAGGGTAGACGGTATCAAAGAGGAAGATAATGAAACCTGGTGCGATAGTGAAGCGAAGGTTCATAAGTTGTTTGATGAGCAACTTGGCTTAAAGAGTATAAAAATTGAGCGTGCACATCGCACTGGACTGAGAAACAATAAAAAACCTAGGACTATTGTTTTAAAGTTATTAGACTTTAAGGATAAAGTTGCTATCTTAACAAAGTCATCAACATTAAAAGCAAAAAAACATTTACATTAATGAAGATTTTTGCGCAGAAACAAACCTAATAAGAAAGGATTTAAAAGAAAAAATGAAAGTGGAAAGACAGTCGGGGAAATTTGCTTACATATCGTACGATAAATTAATCGTTCGGGATTGGAATCAAAAGAAAAGTAATTTATGTTCTTAATATCTTCTATCTTTTTATATTTTTATATTTTTAATATCTTTTTATATACATAAGTGTCCTATTTTATATTTTTACGAATAAAAGAGATAAGTTTTCTAAAGGAATAGAGAAATAAATTAAAAAAAAAAAAAATTAATAATTTAAAATAGTATTAATTAAAAATTAAAAATCGTTTCGAATATGACTGAAAACGAAAATTACTTTGAAAATAGTTCATTAAATGTTTTTAGATTAAACAATTTAACCACGCTCGATGAGCACGATCCTGATAAAATTATATTTGATGACCATTCATTAATGAATACGGAAGCACAGTATTTATTTCCAGATGAAATAAAACAATATTTATCGGATATTTAACATTTTGAGAACTTATCTCTTCTTCATCTTAACATAAGAAGCGCTAAAGCAAATTTTGAAAACTTTAAAATATTCTTACAGGAAAGCAATTTTATTTTCAATATAATTTGTTTAAGTGAAACTTGGCTAACTGATGATGCATATAGCAAAAGTTGTCGGTTTGACTTACTAGAATATGACGCAATTCACTTACAAAGAAAGCCTAAAAAAAGAGGTTATTTTCGTCAAAAATAGTTTGCGGTTTAAAATATAAAATGACATGTGTATATCTGAATGCAACGGCGAATTTGTTTCGATTGAAATAGTTAATGATAAGACCAAAAATATTTTAGTAACTTGTTGTTACAAACCGCCAAATGCGTCCACAGAAAATTTCTCAAATCATCTCCAGAATATTATTCAAAAAGTTTCTCTAGAAAAAATAAAACTGTTTGTCTTACGTGACTTTAATATTAACGCCCTAAATTATGACAATGATATAGAAAGTCAAAACTTTTACAATGATTTATTTCGATATGGTGTGATCCCTTTAATAAACAGACCAACACGAATAACAAGAAATTCTTCATCATTAATAGACAATATATTAACTAATTTTTTATTTGAAAACTCGTTAAAAAAAGGAATAGTTAAAGCACCAATTTCAGATCACATGCCAATTTTCATATCCGCAAATACGTCAAATAAACAAAAACAAAAACAAAATAAAGGTACATTTACTAAACGCCTCCTATCATTAAACAATCAATTAGCGTTTCAAAATGAACTAGGAAATGTAGACTGGTCTCCATTAGAATCATTTAATGATGCTAATTCCATGTTTAATAGCTTCCATCACAATTTTTTAAACTTGTATGAAAAACACTTACCAGAGAAAGAAGTAACAATTAAAATTAAAAACACAAATTCGCCATGGTTTATTAAAGGTTTAAAAAAAGCTTCGAAGCGAAAACATCGACTGTACGATAAATATCTAA